CCGCGTTGCGCGCCCCCCCCCCCCCCGCGCACCGTGGGGCCCGCGGCCGGGCTCCTGCTGACGCTGGCGGGTGCCACGTACCTGGGTGCCGCTTCCTACATGGCTCATCGGGTGCTGCAGGAGTTGGCCAGCCCGCAGACGCCCCCGCTTCCATCTGGGGACGTGTCTCTACCTGGGCTGGAGCGGCGGCGGGGCAGAGGTGCTGGCTGGCGTCTGCCTGGCCCCCAGCTTCTGCAGGAAGAGGGGGTTCAGCGGGGGGCCAGCCGCGGCCCCGCAGGAGGTGGATTATTGAGGTGCTGGGACCGGTTCCTGCCGCGAGCATCACGGGACGATGCCGCTCGCTGTGGGGTGGCAGCGGCTCCTCAGCCTCCCGCCGTGGCCGTCCTGCAGCCCTGGAAGCCCCTTGGACCATCACTGGGTGGAAGAGGTGGGTCCATTTCCCACCTTTACCTCTTCACTCCTAATGTTTCACTTGAAAGCAGGCGTTCTTGCCTGTTACTTGATTGTGCTTTAGTCCTTCTGCAGGTTTTAGCCCCTGCAGCTGCTGCTAAATAAAGAGCGTCCCCATACCCAGCCGTAGCTCGTCTGTGAGGGGCCGGGTGGCACAGGCAGGGGCAGGACCTGGCCACCATCTCCAGGCTGACCACATCTCCTCCCCCCCCCCCCCTGTGAGCTGCACAAAGCCCCCAGCACACCCCAGCCCCCCTGGGACACCTTCCCCGCTTCATCGCCCTCCCTGGCCTCGCAGCGCCGTCGGAGCCCGTCCCTGTCCCCCCACCCCACGGGCGGGTGCCATCGCCCCCCAGCTGGGCTGGCTCGGCGCACGGGGAGAGGGGAGCAGGGCACAGAGGGACACCACAACCCCGTAGGGATGGTGGCACCTGCCACGGGTAGGGGCTGGCTGTCACCGCAGGGATATTAAGCACCAAGAAAAACCACAGCACAGTCAGCCCTCATCGACACCGTTTTATTTACAGCAGAAGAGACCCTGGCCAGGACGGCTGGCGGCACCACGCCGGCGTGCGCGGCGGGGGCACGGTCCTCCAGGAAAAGGCCCCCGTTGCCAACGTGCAGCCGAGGCAAAAAGTCCTTGAAAAAAGCAAGACCCACTGCAACATCCCGTCCCAGGGAGGGGGGAATGGAGCAGAAGCCAGTTGTCCTGCGGCAAGTCCACGCTGGGGGCTGAGTCTTCAAAAATGTCGCCAATCCCCCCACGCCCCCACCCCAGCACAGGCAGAGCGCCCGCTTTGCTCCCGCGGCACCCTGATTTTTATCGGCAACGATTCGTGCCAGAGAAGTCCCAGCGGGGTGTCAGGGTTCGGCCGCCTCTTCGGGGGGGCTGTGCTCGGCCCCGAGCCCCCTGTCGCCATCCCGGCCCCCCTGCCGTGCCCACCACTCCTGCAGCTCCTGGTACAGCTCCTGGTGCTCTTCTTTCCAGCGTGTGAACTTCTCCGAGGTGAGCGCGGCGTCGCTGAGCAGCTGCTCCAGCTCCTGCAGCTCCACCAGCTCCGCACCGCGTGCACCTTCTCGTTGATGCAGGGGTTCTTGTTGCGCCGGACGAAGGACTTGCGGCACTGCTCCTGCGTCAGGAACCGCTGCCGCCCAATGAGGGACACCCCCCCCTGCTTCAGGCACCGCATCAGGCACTCGAGATCCTCCTCGGCGGGGTCTGGGCGAGGAGAGGGGGCACCGTAGGATGGGGGCAGCCCCAAATCCCGGCGGGGCTGCCCCTGCCCATGACCCCGCCCCAAGAGTATCCCGACACTACATGGGTGACGCTCAAATACATCCCCGCTCGAGTTACCCCCCAGCACACACACACACACAAAAAGGTGGCCCTAACTTGGGTTAAAGGGTGCACACGAGGTGACAGGGTGGCAGATGTCACCCCCAGCACCTACCCATGGGCGAGCAGGGCCGGGGGCTGCCCTGGGGGCTGCTGGCTGCGCTGCTGGGCTCGCTGCCGGCCGGGAAGAGCTGCGCTTTCTCTGGGGCATTTTGCAGCTTCTTCTTTGGCTGGGGAAGAGACGGGGCGGGAGGTGAGACGAGGATCTCCCATCCCCTCCCCGGATCTCCCACAGGGCCACTCACCGAGTCGCAGCCCTGCCTGGGGCACTCGTCATCGGGGTCCTCAGCTTCTGTCTCGCTGTAGCAGTCTGGAGGCCACGGGGGGTTGGTGGGAGCGGGAAGCCCCAGGCTGTGCCCCCAGCCCTCCTCAGGGCTGCGCATCGCCCCAGCCCTCCTCTCAGGGAGCGTTTCTCACATTGCTCCCAGATCACGGGCAAAGCTCCCAGCGGTCCCGTGCAGGGGCTGCAGCACCAGGCATGGCCGCCCCAGAGGGACCCCCAGCCTGCGGCTCCCCCCAGGGTCCCCATCTCCCCCCCCAGGAAGGGCCCGTTACCTTCCTCCCTGTCCGGGACCGACTGGTGGGCCAGCGCATACTTCGTTTTGGCTGTTATCAGGCGACTGACCCACCTGGGGAAAGAAAGGATGGACAGACAGACTCGGAAGGTCACGGCCAGCCTGGTGTGGTGGGACCGGCACGGGCTGTCACCAGCTGGTGTGTTACTCACATGCTCAAATCAGCCAGCGTTTCTGCGGCAAAGACGAAGGGCTTGTATCTCTGATGGGAGAGCTGGAACACGCTGGAGGGGGACAAGCCTTTGCTGCTGGGGCTACGCAGCACCGGAGCCAGCCCCGAGCCCCCGTCCAGCCTCCCCTGCGCTGCAGCCCCCCTGTTTCGACCCAGCCCAGGGGTTTGGGCTTTTCCCTGCCGTCGGAGATGCTCCGGTCCTCAGCCCCGGCCCAGATAACACCGGTAGCGCAATGCACGTCTTGCTCAGGGCACGGTCTCCCGTATTGCACGACAGCCGGCCCTGCCAGCACTGCAGGGACCCCACCGGCCCCACGGGGACACCACTGTGACTGCAGGGACATGCAGGTGGGACCCAGCTCATCGGCATGTGCCCGTGGGACAGCATCCTCCCCTCCACCGCCAGCTGGGAGGTCCATGGTGAGACAGACCCCACTCACTATTTCTTCTTCTGCTCCCTCGTGCTCTCCAGGTCGTAGGTGGCCACGTTGATGAGACCTGCAGCCTTCTCATCCTGCGAGGGAGAAACGGCCGCATTCACCGCCTGCCTCGGCTGCCCCAGGTGGGGACCGAGGACACCCAGCATCCCCACTCACGTTGGGGTGGTGGTACCAGTAGAGCGTGTGGCCCTTCAGCACAAACCAGCACCGCTTCCACTTCTGGGCCATGAAGGCCACGTGGTCCTTCTTCTTCAGGAGCCAGCCATCGCAGTCCACCCGGCCCAGGTCCCGGCACGAGACCCGCCGGCGGCTCAGCCTGGTCGCCACTCCTGCTGGCCACAGCGTTGGGGGGGTCAAGAGCAGGGAAGGGGGAGCAGGGGGGAGAGCCCGGGAGAGCCCCCAGCCCCGTCTGCCCCAACAGGGTCCCGCTCACCTTTTGGTCTGCGTCCCGTCTGGGGGCTGCCCTGGACGGGGAGACAGGGACGGGAGGTTAGGGATCAGGCAGGGAGGCAAGGGCACCGCAGTGTTAGCCAAGCCCCCCTCAAGCAGCACCTCAAGCCCTTTAAGGACCCCTAACTCGCACACCCCGCAGCAGCAAGCTCAGAGGGGAACCCACCCCAGGGATGGGTGTTTTGCCTCCCAGCTTGGGCAGGACATGAAGTCCTGCGTGTACCCCACTGATGTCCCCCAGGGCCCCCCCGAGGCTCAGCGCTCCTCTCCCACCAGCTCTCACCTCCCCGGGGAGCCGGCTGGGCTCTCTGCCCTCAGCCCCCGCGGCAGGGGCTGCCGTGGGGCTGAGCTCCGCGGCGCAGGGTCCGGCAGCAGCGAGGGTGCCCGGGGAGCACGAGGTGCCCGGCGGGGTGCCACCCTCCCACGCTGCCTCCTCCTCCGCAGCACCTGCAAGCAGCGAGCGGGGCTGCAGCCTCCCATCCATCCCGGGGGAGAGACCGCTCAGTCCCCAAACACCCTCTCCGCTCCCCTCCTACCGCGGCCAGGCAGCACCCGCAGCTCCCCCACGGCCGCCCCAGGCAGCCTCAGGTCCTGCTCGTCCTCTCCGTCCTCTTCGTCGGAGGCAGGGTCTGGCACCGAGTCCGGCCCCGAGTCCAAGTCGGCAGCAGCGCTGGGGGATAAAGGGATCCCTGAGCTGCAAGCCCCCTCGGCCGCCACGGGGGTCCCGCTTTCAGGCTCCAGCCAGCCCCACACTTGCTTGGGGCACCCGTGGTTCTCCCTGCCCGAGGAGGAGCAGGGCTGGAGGCAACGTGGCGGCGGTGGCTCAACACCGGCTCCACCGGCCTCCGCGCTCCCCGGCAGGGTCCAAGCCCAGCCCGATGGCTTCTGCCCGGCTCGCCCGCACTGCCGCCAGTTCCGCGCACGCCTTTCCATTCTGGGAGAGAAGGGTCATGTCTAAATATAGTTTCAACCCCATTAAAGCGTTACCAAGTGAATGAATTACAAACACAACCACTTTTTTTCATTCCTTAAGACTACTGGCAGCTTCCCGGGCTGCTCACAGGCAGCTGCCACGCTGCAGGCACCTCTCCCCCCAGAACGAGCTGGGAAGGGGCCTCGGGTGCACCCAGACACCTCCGTGCTGGCCGGGCTGGGGGTGTCGGGGGACGGGGCTCACCTGGAGGTCAGGGACACGGGGCTGCCCGGGCACTCGCTGCTCCTGGTGCCGGGGGGATCCACAGCATCCGAAAATGCTCCTGGGAGCTGCGGAGGGAGCATCAGGGCCAGCCCGCATCCCACCATGGTCGCCCAGGGCTTTAGGGACCACCAACGTGATGGGAGATGTCTGGCTCCAAGCATCCTTGCCTGGTTCCCAGCCCAGCCCAGTGCAGCACTGGAGCTGTACTGGGAGCACTGGGATCACTCACCTGCTGCCTGGGAGAGGGGGGCGAGCCGAGCAGGTCCAGAGGGATCTTCTTCAGCACCAGCGTCACCCCGCTCGCCTTCTCCAGCAGCTTCTTTGCCAGGTTGACGCGCGTCCAACCCACCTGCGCAGACACCCCGGTGAGCCGCAGCCCGGCCTCGCGCTGCCCCACGGCCGCGTGCGCCCTCCCCAGCCCCACGGCTCCCGCATCCTGAAAACCCTTCCCGGCTGCAGCTCCGGCGTCCCCCACGTCCTCCCTGGCCACAGATCCACATCCCACGGATCTCCCCGGCCACGGCTCCTGTGTCCTGCAGATTTCCCCAGCCGCAGCTCCCATGTCCCCCAAATCCTCCTCCGCAGTGGCTCCCCCCCCCCCCCAAACCCCCCCCCCCCCCAAACCCCCCCCAGCAGTGGCTCCTGTGTCCCCCAGACCTTTCCCAGCCGCAGCTCCTGCGTTCCGCGGATCACAGCTCCCGTGTTCCCCCGAATCCTCCCAGCCCCGCAGCTCCCCGTCCATGACCCGACTGCCGAAACCAGCACCACTCCCCGACTCACCACGACCTGCTCGTTGACCTGCACGATCTCGTCTCCGGGTAGGACACAGCCCCCGTGGGCAGCCAGGGCCTGGGGCAGAGGCAGGGTGGGAGCGGGGTGCCCGGCCCCCGCTGCTCACCGCTCCCCCCCAGCTAATTCGCGCTCAGGAGCTCTCCCGGCTGGGAGGAACCGGGGGGGTTAACCATTAACCGGCAGCCTGACCTTGCACAGCACCGGCCGGAGCGGCTGGTGGGATCGGGGTGGGGAGGGGGGCTCCCACCCTGGCCCAGGCTGTGCTCACTCGTGGGACGAGTTGCATGGTCTCAGCTGCAGGCAGCCACCCCAAGCTCTGGGCTGGGGAGCGCGGATTAGGGCCCCCAGAGGCTCACAGGATCCAGCCGGATGGGGGGCAGCGGGGACGGGTGGTATTCCCCACGGCAGGCGCTAAAAGGGGGTGACTGAGGGACAGGGTGGCACGGGAGGGTGGCAGGCTGGGCAGCCCCTCACTCACCTCCGAGGTGGTCGCAGACACGAAGTGCAGGCAGGAGCTGGTGGAGGTGATCTCGAGGCCCTGGGGGGGATGGGAGGGAGGCGTGAGCGGGGTGCAGGGGGTGCGAGGGGGGCCCG